CACAATTCAATTTAGTACATTAGGCACCATACCACCTGAACCTGATCCACCAATGTTATGTGACAAAGGTGTGAAATATTTAACATTATCATGGATAAAACGTCCTATTGATGAAACATTTACATTACAAATGAATGATGAATCAAATTATTTTCGAAATAAATATACAGGTTCACTATGTACTTATACAATTACCGATTTATATCGAAATACTGAATATAAATTTCGAGTAATTTAAAATTTTGTTTTTTAATTATGGAGAATAATTTTTTGTTTTCTATATAGTTAGCAGCACATAATCAAGAAGGTCAAAGTAATTATTCTCAAATAGCAACATATAGTACATTACCTGATCGACCTGATCCACCAGCTAAACCAAGAATAAAAGGACATATACAAGCAACACAATGTCGTATTGTTTGGGGTAATAAAGAAAACAAAAAACAAATTAACTTTTGTAATAAAATAAATTTTTAAGATCCACCAAGAGATAATGGCGGTGCAGAAATTCAACAATATCATCTTGAATTAGAAGAATCAAAAGGTAAAAAACAAAAATGAAAAAGAAAATTTGAATTATTTGACTTTCTTTTATTTTTTTTTTCGATTAGCTGAAGATGGTAGGTAGAAAAAAATAATAATAAATTGTTATTTGTTTCGTCATGTTTTGATATTTAAAAAAAAAACATCAAGGACTAATATTTTCTAATAAATATTTGTTTTTTTTTATGTTATAGGTTTTCATGTTATTTATAATGGTTTGGATACAGAATATTTACTTGAACAACTTATACCTGGACATTCATATTCTCTTCGTTTATCATGTTCAAGTATAGGTGGTCAGAGTGATCCATCAGATATAACACAAATACGAACACCAGCTGTTGCACCAGCTTCTTGTCATCCACCGAAAATTTCTGGAAAACCAAAAGCAAATTCATTACATCTTCGTTGGGGTAGAGAATTTTATTTATTTATTTTTTTGTAAGAAAAAAAAACCAAGAAGGATCTAAACAAGTCGATACAATAGATTTTTCCAATTGATAATCTTCAGGATATTACACGAATCATGAAATCTATTTTTGAATAAAACTTCAGACTAAAATTCTATTATTCAATTTTTCTCGTCTAAAAATTCAATAAAATGATCAAAACTCATGAAATATGCACCAATGACATATATCCTTTTATGACAATAATTGACTGTAACAATCAGCAATGTACAGGGTTACCATATCTTGCAAGTTAGGATTGGGTGAGGGTTACAAAACTTTTCTGAGTCCGGATGCAAGGTACACAAAAAAGTTTTCTGTCTACATTTCTCTAATTTTGAAGTGTTCCTTTGTTAGACTAATTATTTCGAGTATAACATTTTGTGAAATATATAATAATTAAATCTTATTTTATTATTTTAGCATATCCAGATTATGATGGTGGTTCTTCAATAATTGATTTTGAAGTTCAAGTAACAAATCCTGATAGCTCATCACGTATTGTTTATCGTGGACGTGATCTTGATTGTACTGTTGCTGGTTTATTACCTGGTCGACCATATTTATTTCAAGTTCGAGCATTTAATCGAGCAGGCGTATGTTTTCTTTAAATACAAAATAATTTTACAAAATTTTTCTATCTTTTTTTTTTTTATAAAGGCTGGTCCATGGTCAGAATATCTTGATGTTCTATCGGGTCCCGGTGTACCTGAAGCACCACGAAATTTTCTTGTTGAATGTCATTCTCCTAATAGTGCATTAATACGTTGGGAAGAAGGTGTTAATAATGGTGCAGCTATAACTGAATATCGTCTTGAATGGTCACGAAAAGAAAGTGATTCATTTATGCAACTTTATTGTGGAACAAATTGCACATATGAAGCTAAAGGTCTTACACCGGTTACACATTATTTTTTTCGAGTACAAGTAAAGGACAAAAAAAAAATTTTTTTTTTCTTTTATTCAAACATTTGATATTTTTTGTGTTTATCTAGGCAGTTAATTCAGCTGGTCCTGGTCCATATAGTATGTTAGCATCATGTGTGACATCGGCAGCTCCTCCATCAATTGTTACTTCTGTAAAAGTACATGCAAAATCGACATCAATGACAATAACATGGAAAGAACCATCAAATAATGGATCATCTATTACGGGTTATTATATTGATATTGGTGAAAAAGAACTTATTTTTGTTAATCCAGAATTTAATGAATATACTATTGATGAAGTATTACCTGATACAACTTACAGGTTTATTTTATGTTTTATCAATTTTTATCTAATCGCAAAATCGTTTTTCTTTTTAGAATTCGTATACGAGCCGTAAATACCATAGGACCTGGCCCATATTCATCAATAGTTAAATGTCAAACAAAAAGTTTACCACCAGATCCTCCACGACTTGAATGTATTGCTGTAACATGTAATTCAATAAAATTAAAATGGAGTAATGGAACAGTTAATCATGCTCTATCATCATCATCATCAGAATCATCAACAATAACTCCTCGTTCAATATCATATATTATTGAAATGGAAGGAAAAGATGGAAAGTATGTAACAACAAAAATTATTAAATATAAAATAAATATTTGTTTTCTTTTTCATAGTTTTAATTGTATTTATACCGGTACTACATATTCACATAAAATAAATAAATTACAAGAAAACACTCAATATAATTTTCGTATATGTGCAAAAAATGATTCAGGAGCTGGACCATGGTCAGAAATTTATACATTTACAACAACTAAAGCACCACCAAATGCATTAAAAGGTTTATAATTTTAAAAATTTTTCTTTTTTATCTTTCGTGAAATACAATTTAAAATGAGCGTTGAAGTATAGCAGTAAAAATTTCGACCGTACACAAACATTTTAGTAATACTCCCTCCTTCTCTCCTGAGTCCAGGTCGTGACATTAGAAAGCTACGAGTCCTTCCAGACCCGAGCCCGTCCGGGTCTGGGTCCAAAGTTTTATTTTTTTTCGGATCCGAGTTCAACCTTTTATTTTTTCTTGAGCCCGGTTACACGTTTTTGTGGACTCGCTGCTTCCCAGATGAGAAATCCAGCAACAAGATATTAACTGTACGTTGAGTTTTTTTCTGAGAGTAGCGAATAAATAACTGAAATCTTGATCCTTCACTTATTCATGTACACGAAGAGTGTCAGGTATTGATGAAAAAAAACATTGGTTTAGATCCGGTTAGGTTCGAGCTTAGACTCGACCGAGCCCGCGTCCAAATTTTAAACTTTGTGCGGGTTTCGATCCATAAAAACGTGGACCTGCAGCTTCCTACGTAACGTACGTCGATGTGCGATCACAGATCATATGTCAATAACGTCTCATTATGATATATCTTATTATATTTCTGAAGGGTTAAGTAAAAGAATGATGAAGAAATTGATCATAAAAATAGATAGAATAAAACAATCTCCGTCTGATTAGCAACTGCAGTTACATCTATGTTTTACATTTAATCCCGCATGGATTGTGCTAATATCTTTGTTTTTTTTTAGCTCCAAATATCAATGAAATAACTTCAACATCATGTGTATTTAATTGGCAAGCTCATAAACCACTTGGTAACGATCCAATAAGTTATATTCTTCAATTACAAATTTATCGAAAAGAAAATGATTATACAGAAATTTATCATGGTGAATTAACATCATATCGTGCAATGAATTTAGAAGCTGGTGTTGATTATCGTGTACGCGTTTGTGCTATACGTTCGACAAGTGAAGGTTTAACATTAAATAGTCCATTTAGTCCTGCAACACATTTTGTTTTACCACGACCAGAAGATTTAGCTGCAGTTTTATCTGTATCAAAAACATCAAATAATAATCATTTAATAAATGATGATCATCATCATCATTTTGAACAAAAAATTTCATTAATAAATCGTTATCGTTTATTATTAAATCGAAAATTAAAATCTATACAATTATTTGAAAGTCGAACATTAACTGATCAACAATGGGCTATTGTTATATTTGTTGGTTTTACATTATTAGCAATATTTATTGCCATATTTGCTAATTTTATGTATTCAAAATATAATAATGGTTCATCGATATCAGTTGATAATGCCTTTTCTTCTTCTTCTTCTTCTTCTTCTTCTTCTTCTTCGTTTTCTCCCGGCATAAAAAAATAACAGTGAAAATAATTTCAAAACAACAAAAAAAAATGTTTTCTTTTCTTCTTTTTTTTTTTTAATATCTATTCTTCTTTTCATCTCTATCTATTTGAATGTATGCGTATGGGCTCGGTTTCTTTTTGATTTATCTGTTGTTGTTTGCACTGTTAAATGTTGTTGATTAGCCATAAGGCTATTGATTATAAAAAGAAAAATTCTAATTTATCTGTTTCATTATTACTGACATAGAAATATAATCTACATATAAACAACGTTCTTCTTGTTCTCTTTTTTTGTTTTGTTTTCTGTTTGTTTCATGTACGTTTGCGAGCAGCTGTTACAGCAGCTATTTTATTTTTACTGTTGTTTCTCGTTTTTCTTCTTTTTTTTTTGTTTGTTCTTATTCTTTGTTCAAATTACTCTTTCTCTTCTTTGAATGTTGTTAAGTGTGTGAAGCAAGTGAAAGAGAGTGACAGACACAGAATATATTGATAGAAAAAAAAAAGAATACAATGTATTTATATTTATTATTATATATATATATATATATATATATATAAATATATATAAATGTGAAAGAGATGTCGGTCGGATTTTGGTTTACAATAAAGTATCAACTAATATCTTCTCCTTTTTTTCAATAGTATATACATTTTCTTGTATATGGTTATTGTTTGTAAAATGTGTGTATTTGTGTGCGTACAGATCAAATCTTTAACATGCGCGCATTTTTCGATTCGTATTTGTTATTTCACAAGAAAATGAAAGCATGAATTGAGTGTGTATGTGTTCATATAATTATATGTTGTTTAAAAACAAAAAAAAAAACATTAATTTTGGTCTATAAACAAAAAAAGCAAAATTTTAAACATCAATATGCCATGAAATTGGATCAGCTGTTTCATAGATTTGATCTGAGTGATCATCATTACAAAAAGGTATTCGATTTATTAGAGTTGATAATGGAGGTGGTGGAGGTGGTATTAAAGGTCGATTGAAATCATGACGCTTTTGTTTATCCATCATCGATACATAACATTCAACAATATCAACTGGTGGATCAAGTGTTGTTCGAGTTACACCTGAATTTACATCATAAACAGTCAATGGAATCTATGAAACAAGGAAAATAAAACAAAAACAAAGATTCAAGTCAACAAATAGTTTTTTAAAAAATCAAACAACCTTTTCTGCTGCTGCTAAATTATGAATCCACATACTTGGTTTACTTTTTAACCAAGTTTGAACTTGTCGCATTCGACGTATAGTTGTACGTTCTATTAGAAACCAACAAATATATATCAATTGAAAACTAGAAAAAAAAATATACTTTGATCTACTCGACAAGCATAATGACAACATAAATATGCAGAAAATAAAATTAAACTAAGTAAAACAAGTAAACCAAAATAAATAACTATTTGCAGTAGAAGATGACTACCTAATAAAAACATCAAATTTTAATAAGAATTAAAGAAAAAAAAACTACATACTTCGTTTTTCAAGACGAACACGAGCATATTCACTACCATATTGATTTGTAACATGACATTCATATTCTCCAAAATCATTTGTTTGTACATTATATATAATTAAACCTATTTCATAACGTGGTATTGTTTTAACATCACGTGCTGGCATTATTGTATATTTCATATTATTCATAAGTGTTACATTTTTAAATATCCAAAATGTATTCTAAAAATTGAAATATTATATATAATAATATAAATTGATATAACATACATTTGGTTCAATATCTTTTTCTAATTGACATTTAAGCATTACTTCTGAACCTTTAGAAGCAAGAACTGGTTGTGGAGGATAAAAACGTGGTGGTCCTATCGAATAAAACAAAAGACGAAGAAGTGAAAAAATAAAAGAAACTATGTATATACCAGGTGGAAGAACTTTAGTTGATGCAACAATTTTAGTAAATTGTCCTCCAAGTGTTACTATACATGCATAAACAGCAAAATCATCTTCATGTATTTCAGGAATTTGATATTGACTTCCACCACCAACAAATTCTCCATTTTTTGTCCAAAGAATATTTGCTGGTGGATTTGAATCAACATCACATGAAAGTATTAATGGATCACCCAAACGAACAAGTATATATGGTAAAGGAAAAGATTTAAATTGAGGTGCATCTATTTACAAAAAAAACAAATAGTGAAACAGAAGTTTTTTATATAAAAAACAAACAAATAAAAGAATAACATACAATTAATATTAAGAATAACTATATCTTCTGATACTCCAGCACTATTTAATGCTGAACATGAAAGATATTGATTATGCATTTCACGTGTAACAGTTAAATGTAAAGGATATCTACCATCAGGCATAGGTGGCATTCGTTGAAGAATTGTATCATTTGTTTTCCAGCTGTAAAAAAAGAAACAATTAAATTCAAAATTATTTGTGTTTCTTTTTTTCCATCAATCTGATTTATCATCATACATACACAAGTTCAGTAATTGATGGTCGAGCTTCAGCCATACATTCAAACCAATAATCTTTATTTTCATACATTTTTGTTGGCTTTAAAATTATTTTAACAACAGGTTGATCTTTAACAAAAAAAAAGAAAAAAACTTAAATTTTATAATCAAAATAAAATTTACAATCAATAGCAATTATTGCTGTTGATATTAATGATTTATTTGATGCTATATGTGTTGTTTCACATGTTACTTCTTGTCCATGTTGATTAATATCAGCAATAAGTGTTATAATTGATATTGATTTAAATAATTTACTATTTATTGTCATAGGTACATTTTCTTGTGATATATTTACAATTTGTGTATTTGGTGGTATTTGCCAAGTAAATATTGGTGCTGGTTGTGTATTAAATGCTTCACATTTTAATTTAAATTCTTTTCCACTAATAGCAATACCAGGTGGTACATATGTCAGAGAAATTTGATCTGGTGGTATAAGAATAGTTAAATTAGCAAAATTTGAAAGAACTTCACGAGCTTCAACAGTTCGACCAATTTGACATTGATATATACCATCATCATCAAGATTAACATTTCGAATTTGTAAACTATTTATACCTAAGAAATATTATACAATATGTTATTATTAGAAAAAAAAAAATTTTAGTTTTTTTTTTTTTCATACCAGCTTGTCTATCACCGATAACTTCATATCGAGGAATGAAATATAATGGTCGTTCTCGACCCATTGTACAATGACCATCTTTACACCTATTGTTTAAATATATATTTGTATACATTAAGATTTACAAATGTTTTTACTTACCAAGCAACTTCACCATATTGATTAAATACAGTACAATCAAGAATAATTGTTTCACCAACTGGAACTTGTACAGATTTTGGTTGAACAATAATTGTTTGTAAATATTCTCCATATCCTAAAAAAAAAAATGAAAATTAATTTATTATAGTGTAAAACAAAATAAGAATCGTTGACCTCGATGAATCTTTTGAATTAAACAGAGACTTAGTAAGAATATTGATGACCACCACATGTGTTTCTTTGTTGTTGCTGTTGTCGATGATATGAAGTTAACATTATTGTTTCATTCTTCTTTCGAATGAAATTCATGCATCACTTACAAGTACATAAAGAAAAAGATTGATTGACAGCAACAATTGTATGAAATATGACGCAGTTCTTTGATTATACAGAAAAGATATTCATCAATGATCGAACAAAATGCTTGAGTAAATTAAATAGTACGAATAAAATATATCGATTTGTTTTTTTAGAAAAACTTCTAGAACTCGTTTTATTGATATGATTTCAAAATAAAAATTATCGAGTTTAGTAAAAAAAAAAAAGCAAGATGTGTCTAAAATCAGATAAGTAATTTTTCGATAAATGAAATTAACCTTGGTTCATGTCTTGATATACATAGAACATTACTCCAATTTTTTATTTCGAAATTCGGTGACCAACACCCAGTTAAACGTAATATACCTGTTTGTCCTATTTTATAACATATATAATCCTTATGATCAAGATTGATTACCACTTAATAAAGAGTTGTTGTTTCCCATATTCCAATACCATGATATTCAAAGATAAATAATCTTATTTGATGTTGATTAAGAGTATTTTCTGCACCTTGAATAACTAATGGATCAAAACCTTCAGTATCCATTTTTAATAAATCAATTTTTTTTCAGTAATATTTTGCTCTTCTAAAAATTTATCTAAAGTAATAACTTTTGTTGCCACATGATTTTCAGTGCTTAGATTCGTTTTTGTTTCTAGTCCACATATTTCGCCTCCTGGAGGACATTTTTGTAAAGTACTAATTTTAGTTTCATTACTTAGAGCTAGTTGATATGTATACAGAAATGATACATTTATCCATTGTTTCATTTGAGACAATATTTCATATGTAGTTGGTTGTGGTTCAAATGCATATATTTCAATAGTCTTTTTCATACGTAGACTTGAATTAAACTTTATAAATCCTTCTTCTTTACAGTCACCATATGCACCACAATCATTTAACTTTAATTTAGTTCGTAAATAATCTGCTAAAACTTGAGGATTAATACTAAGATTTAGCATCCAAAGCGATAACCAAGTAGCAATTGTATATGCTTTATTTGCACCAACATCGAAAAATAACATTTTCTTATTATTAAACATATCTAAATCAGCTAAATATAACTGAAGTAAATAATTATCAGAATAACACGCTGACCAAAGACTTGGATTGTGCCGTAGTAGACTATATTTTTTGACCTTGAAGTTCAGCTCCGGTCGAAGTACAATATTGTGTATATAATGAGAGATTATTAATAGAAAATTTTTGTGTTGTATTATTATTTAAAATAGGAGAACTAGTGTTAATGCATATGATAATTGAAGTTCCAAATGGCTTGAGATATGAAACGGAAACAAACAAAGACACGCATAGCATGAACAATATCAACACATGACGCATTTTAATCATTATTTATAGAATTCTGTACTTTAGAAGAGAATTTAAATAATGATAAATCAAATAAAAAGCTACAGCTGAACGGAATCAGATGATAAAAATAAATATAATTTATATTTAATCGATATTGAAACAATAATGATTGGATAGCAAAAATATCATATAGAATAAGACGAAAAGAATATCTTGGAATTACTGTCGAAATAAATCAATAAACAATATTTTTATGCGTAATAATCTATTGCTAAATTGCTAAAATTACATAAAATTACTTATGTTCTACATTTGAATACATTTATCGAATATACAAGAAACATTAACAAACACAAGACTTTATTCATTTCGGTTCAATGACGAGGTTTGTACACTTACCTACAGTATTCATTCGAATCATCACTATATACATGCATACATAGATGATGGTAATATTTTTTTTATCACAGAATTGTGAGGAAAAAAAAATTTTATGCCCTGAAGAACAAGAGCAAGTAAAGCTAAACGAATATCGTATGTGGACATGGCCAAACGTTACGGAATTTCATTTTTTTATATTGTGACATCTATATCTCCACAGTAGTAAAAGCTAACTCTTTGAAACTTTTATCATAGACAGAGACTATAAAGTTCTACTATCCATAAAAATTTCATCGACTTTTTCCTTGACCAGAACTAAATTATTCCAAAAATAGTGACCGTTACGGAATTTCAGAAAATGGAATCTTTTTTAAGGGTGATATGAGAGTTGAGCATTTTACTACGAATCGAAGCGAAATATAAATAACCGATTTACGTACAATTTGTTCAGCTCTCTACAAGCAATCATTATATCATGCTGTTTACTAACAACTCTGATTGCATAGAATAAAAAAACTAAAAATACTGTTCGTTACGGAATTTCACCTTTTTTTCACGTTCCAAAGTCGAAGATTTGAGGATCTGAAATTTTTCAAATTATCATGATAAAAATATATTTTTTTCCTAATTTACGGATAGTACAAAGATAGTTCTATCATTCGAGTAGTCAAGTTTTATTCTCATAACGAATGCACATTAAAATTGCTGATCATCTTTCAGACAAAAATGTAATTTGATACGATTCAAAATCATACTTTATTATGAAACCAGTCAATAAATTTATTATATATATATATATATATATGATGAAAGAAAAATTGGGATTATATTACTCACAACTAAGGTATCTCATAGCTTGCAGAATGTTCGATTGTAGAGACAATTTTCTTTCAGTTTTGTAATTTCAAACTTTCGAATGCGAGGGTGGTCGTTAGCTGGCCCTGCACATGTGCAGTATTACAAAAAAAAACGACAGATAAGAATACATAAATATTATATGAGATACGATTAGAGAAACCGTACACTTTGGATTAAGACAGATTGTAAAAAAGAGAAATAAGCATATTATACATAAATAATTCATAAATTATCTATGATGCATGATATGCGTTGTTTTGTGTCATGGGAATTTAAGATTCGGCGAGTCGTACGATTTTCGCTAGAACGTTGTTGCAAAGTTCCATAATTCTATACAATCAATTGGTTTTTTTTTTTTGGAAACTTCGATACAAAGTTCCATTTGTTGTCAATTCGCTCAATAAAATGACAATTTTGAAGTGAGAACTTTGTGTTTTTTTTGAGATGATGGAAACGAGACTGATGACCATGAGATAATGAAAACAATCTATATCATTGCTTTTCAGAAAATACCGCCGGTTTACAGCGATTATATTAGTAACAGATCATTGAAGTGTAGTTATAAAAAGAAAATATGTGAGAAAAAAAAGTATGACATAAATTTCTCAAATTTCCAAATTTATATATGTTATATAAATAACAACTGATTTATACTAAAAAATAACATTCTTAATGTCTGTCAAGCATTCTAATCACTAAGTTCAGAAATGGTTTTCTGAATATTGGTACATTGATGAAACTTATTAAATGTTATCGTCTGCTTCTATATTATTATCATCATCATCCTCGTCTTCATCATTTCCTTTTTCATCAATTCCTTCGTAATTCTTCGCATTCGTTATATTATTTATCCATTTTGTCAATTTAGCTCTATATCTCGATGTCTCTTGTCGAAGTGCAGCTCGTTGTCTTTTTTTATTTACCATTATATGAATTGACGATGATGTTTTTCATTTACGACCAGCATCTCGACGAAAACCACCATAACCAGAATTACTACCACCATTGTCAGGATCAATGTCCATTTTTATTATAATACAGCAATTAAAAACAATTTATTAAGTTGCCATTGGCAAATAATAGCTATCGTGTATAAGTAAATATTCAATCAAGAAAAACATAAAAAATACGTAACAGTGATATTAAAAAGATCAAGATATAATAATTGTCATTTATACATAAAATGCGTCATTATTTCTATCTCTTTTAATAGCTATCACTTTTTGAAATAGCATTAATTGTAGCATGTCGTCGTCTCTATACGATCATAGCCATAATATATAATAAATATCTTTTATTGCATATAAAAAATAGAAAAGATAAAAAAATATCGAAACTGAAAAAAATCAAGTTTTCATCCTGAATTTGATGACAAACCACTGTAAAATTAATCTAAACTAAATATTCAACAGGGTAATAATAAATATGCAAAATTGCGTATCATTCAAATAGTTATTATGTACAAAAAGAAAATAAGAAGTTGATATTAATTTAAAAGCAGAATTTATCCGTTGACTAATTTGTACAAGTTTTTAAATCTAATGATGCAAAATAAAATTAGAAGGAACGCATTTCAAGTGAAATTTCAATTCAAATTTCGTAATGATAATATAATGAAGCGACAATAAACATCAATCTATCTTTTGAATTAGTGCCATAACTAGATAGAAGATAGAGGAAGCTTAATCGTCTCCTGCTTCTGAAACGGTTGAGTTTCACTTAAAAAGAGGCTTGATATCTTTTTATAAGAGTGATCTTTGATGATGATTTTTGGATGAAAACAAACAGTGGGATTCATAAAAAAGGAAGTAATCTAGATATTACATCAAATCCTAGTAAGAAAGGAATGTAAAAATTGAGGACAAAAATCTAATGTACTGTTTCTTTTGTGGATGAATTTCATCGATATTTATCGCATAGCATATCATGAAGATATATATTTCTCATGGGTAAAAAAGCAATTAAAAAAAAGTAGGCCATTTTTTTAATCATCTCAAAGTCATCTCTATTGCAAGTCATATATCTTGATGATAGAGCATGATGCAAAATAATTTTTTTTTTGCCAAAAGGTGCCTTAGGGAATTCTTTACACATAATGTGTAAGAAGTTTTTTAATATCACACGTTCTACATTTTCTGCAATGTTTCTAAAAATGGCAATTCTAGTTACCGATGGGGAATAAAGAATTAAGAAAACATTTATATGTTAGCTTTGTAACCTATTCTGAGGACTTTTGAAATCACTATTTGATGTCTTTCATAGATCATGTTTGAGTAAAGTTATGATCTTTTTTTTGTTCGTGACTTTAAGCTAAAATTACATATATAAATTTCAAATATATCTAAAACAAAAAGAGCGCATCGGATTCAAATTTTTCTGGCTGGGTTAACGGCACAATTTCAAATTCAAATTCGATGAAGTCCAGTTTGGGACCAAATCGACGAACTCTAACATCCAGTATAAAACATATAACTACTCTACAAAATCAATATCTTCTCATGTAACATAATCTTGAATTATTTCCACACGAATATTCATATTTAACTGATTCATTCAGTTTATTTTCTAGTTAAAAATACTCTTTGAAACAAAGTAACTTGGAAAATTTCGTCAAAAACTGTGTGAAATAAAAATATTCATAGTAAATGTCTGGACGTTTTCTATGAATGGCTTTCGAACACGAGAAAAAAATTCTAGGATAAAGATTGTTGACATTAAGACAAGTTTTTCTTGATTATAATATTTATTTTTATTAGAAAAATATAAAAATTAAATAGTTTAGTATTATTAACACTAAAATTCTAGTTTATAATCAATTAAATGTTTTTTATTATTAATGTCTTCATCAGTTAATAGATCTTTATGTTCATGACATCGACATTCATAACTATCAAGAGCATATTCTTTTATATGAATAAAACCTTGACTTGATAAAAGATTTTCTTTATTATGAATAAATTCTGTATGAATATCTTTTAATATTGATTTTTCTGAATGAAATTCTTTTTCTTGTTCTAATTTATCAATAGAAACGATATAAGAATGTTTATTAATTCGATGAATTTTTGTATCCCAATTATTTTCAATTGTTTTTCTTATTATCGGTTTTTTCTCATTTATTTTTAGTACTGAAAATAATTTATCATTATTCAATTGTTTTTGATTTAATGAATCATAAAGCTTTTGATAATGTTGTATTTCATTATTATTATTAAATAATAGTTGATTTTTATATATTAATTCTTTCATAATTTAAAAAATCATATAATTTAAAAAGAGCGCATTATTAATTTGGATATATTTTAATAGATTACATTAATGTCAATTAGTAATCGAACTAATAATTATGAACAACATAAAATTATTTTTGCTGATAGAAATAGTATAACACCAAATGAAAATGATTTATATATAAAACAATTATGGATTGATATATATAATGAAAATTTAAATGAAGGTGCTGTTCAATCTAATGGAACTATTTTATGGGATTGTCCATGTTTGGGTACACAAGCTATTGGACCTTGTTCGAGTCAATTTCGTGCTGCATTTTCTTGTTATCAAAATAGTAACAAAGAACCAAAAGGTAAACATATGCAAAAAATTGAGTCCATCCAATTTATCGTTTCGGTCAAAGAAGATTAAAACAGAATGTCTAAACGTAGATACAAAAAGTTAGTTATGCGGGCAAATTTTTTTTCCTAATTCCTGAGTAATTCAATTCAACTTTCAAGTTTGATATGTGCGACAGATTCGAACCTATAGAAAAAGACATGCAGAAAAGAAAATGTCATAACTAAAGTACGATTTTATCTGAGATTTAGCCATATCTTGGATTTCTCTCAGAAAAGAGCTCGTCATTTTTTTTACCAACGGTTCCTGAAGAAATCATAAAGCAAATTATAGAATAATAAAACGATTTACTCATTGTTGATTTCAAAGAAAAATAAAATGATTAACATGAAACACAAAATTAATTATACTTCTCTTGACATGTAGTCTTGAGTAAAGGAGTTCGTTTTACATATTCAATGTTTACTTGATATTCCTTAAGGTTCTGAATGTATGATAGAATTTATGAAAATGCAAAATTGTTTTATACAATATCCGAAATTATATAACAATAATAATAACAACAACCATTCTAATAAAATCAATGAAAAAGAAATTGAAATCAAATCGAATATGACACAAATGAATCATCCAGAAGCACGACGTCAACGTATGAATGAAGCAAGAAAAACAAAAGAATGAACTATCAACATGTCATATAAACTTTACTATTAGATTTTTATCAAATTTTCGTCTTCGAAGAAATATATTGATATTGAATTTTTATGAAAAGTAATCAAGCAAATACTCAACAAAACATTGTTAACATAATATTTGCACGTTCATATTAATAACATTTTGTCTAGATTATTTACTCGAATATTGTAGACTTTAGTTTTAATCAATAAGCCTATCTTTTTTCTTGTTTTTTTTTTGACTAAAAAATAATATGAAACAGATATCCATTCATACTTAAAAAATATCGATAGCTTTAGAATTTGATATGACGATCAAATGATTGATTGTATTTTTCTCTTATTTTTTATGTTTTATACTCGAGAATATGAAGAATATTTCGAATTTCATAAGAAAAAAAATTGAACTGCATAAGATAATTTTTCACTACACACACAAATAAATAAACAAAATCAATTCAATTTAGTTTGTTTATTATCAATAATCACCACCGCCTTGTTTTGTTTTTAAAAGATTTGAAAGTATGCCATTAGCATGTACAAGATCGCTTGGTTCAATTGTACCATTACCGTTAGCATCTAATTGTTTAAATATATATTTTGATAAAACCTTAGCTGCCATACCATTTATACCAAATTGTTGTAATAATAATTGTAAATCTTCTTTTGTTACACGACCATCATTGTTTTTATCTAACATACGAAATGCTTGTATTGGATTGCTAAATGCATTTGTTAAACCGTTCATATCAAAATTTGAAGGTAAAGCACTAGCAGCTTCACGTGCAGAAGACATGATGATATTTTTGCTTTTGTTATTTCAATATGATTGTGTATGCTTTTATAAAACCGAGCTATAGACAAATATTTTTTTTTCTATATACTCCTTGCTTAACGTTCTCTTATATCGTGAAATTTATCTAAGATTTTTTCCTGTATTATATTACTTTGGATGTTTGCTTTTAAAAAAAAACGTGACGAAATAAAGAGACGTATATTGACAATAACATTTACCATCAAGACTCATATGAAGGGAACAAACTGAAAAGAAATTTTTTTTTTGACTAGTGCGTAGAAGTCTCATGTTGACTATAATAAACAGTCGCATAGAGGTATCATCATAATAGGTTGGTGGAAAATGTTGAATAATTTTCACATTATAGTAGATAAATTGATCGAACTAGTGATTAATTTTAACGATATAGAAATAATAAGAAAGTATAGTTTGTGTTACAAATTATGTGTACAATGATTTAAAAAACAGATTGATTCATTACGTAAAAAAGCACAAAATAAAACTCAAAATATAAGCAAATATTGTTATATTATTTCTTCTTAATGAAAAAGGTTAACAGATTGTAATTAAATTGAATTTATTATTTATAATAGAAGTTTGAATATCTCGACTTCAATATTTGATCTTGGTATGACTAAAACCAAATAACTTCACAACAAAATCCTTTACTTTTCATCAAACACAATTTCTCACAAAAAAGAAACAACCATTATACTTTAAAATCTCATGTGTGACATACGCTATATACAAGGGTGTTCCGAGTGGGAGTGATCCTCTCAATCTTGAAAAATTTTCGTTTCGCCTCCAGCGGAGTTCCAATGTTTTATTGACTTTCTTTGCTCGCCTATTCTCAAAAATTTGTTTAACCTCGCTAAATCTAATCAACTTAAGTCAAAATCTTTCAATCAGTCTCTTGAATTATCAGCCTTAGAATATTCTTGGTTATATATCTGTATTAATAAAATACAATCGACATAAATCTTCAGTCTTCAAATAGATTTCATAGTCAATTTCTAACAATGTGATGTTTATTATGAATTCAGATGTACAATGTGATACATTCATTATTCATATCAAATGTTAATCTTTAATAGAAAATTGAATACATTAAACCAATATGATAAAAATAGTTAAAAAAGAAGGTTGAATATGTTAAACAATTAAAATATTCTAAAAAATTACTAGCAATGATAAGTCTATCGAATACAATGTAAGATACAGTAACATTAAATTTACTTTATCATAAGTGATATATAAAAAAATATTTGCTCATTTGAGTTGAATGAGTATATTATCAAAAGTCCTTCTTCACCTTTTATATATGTAAAAACAAAAGACTTGATAAATAAAATTATCTAGATATAAGTACGAGACCAGTTTTAATATATTCATGATTAAATCTCGGGAAATATAGTTTATCCAGTAAAGCCTCTTTATCCTAGCCAACCTATAATCCACTCAGGCAAATTTCGCTAAGGATGAATCTCTCAAATATGACTACCTTCTTATCCTAAGTAGTAGGTGTTTATTTCTAGTCCTATGAGTAATGACAATCTCTGTAGTGTGAATAATATGTTCTATCACTCATGTACACGACAAGATAAAAAATGATGTCATGTGTATTGCGTTATGATAAATGATCATGGAACATATATTGAAAAACGAAATGAACTAGTCATAAATATTTAAAAGAAAAAATAAACAACATTGGCCAATAACAACAGTGCTTAGTTTAACATCTTGTCGTTTTTTGTACTAAAAGTTAGCAACATCCAATCATATAAACACGTGTTGATTTACCTCTGATTAAAAAAAGTTTAATTAATTAAATTGTTGGAAAGAAGAAAAAGATTACCGTGTGCAACTGAATACTTACAGATTTCAAAAAAAAAAACAAGAAACTGAAAATCTCTCAATAATGATCACTTTTGACTTGTCTCAATGATATCCGCATTAGAAAGATTTTTACTGTATATGCGTATAATGAATGATATATAATTTAAAAAGAAAATGATAATATCATATTTGATAATAGAATTCAGAATAAAAAAGAATTTACATCGGAAATTTTGTCCAACATAAAATTTCACATATCTTTTATTTTTCTTTCATCAGTTTTTACTTTTTATCAACATATTTTTTATATAGTTGTAAACTCTTACCTATGAAGATAATTTTTGTCGAATCATTGTCATTATTTTTCTTATCTATTTATCATATTTAGATAAAAGAGGTTATAGTTTTGCTATTTCATTTACATTAATACACAGAGTCGAAATATTCAACGACGACAGCTTTAATAACAACAATGATAAAATTCATCCTTGTCACTGTCGTTTTTTTTCTATTCATTATCAATAAAAATTGCGCTCTTGATGCTGATAATTATACAAGTTATATTGAGGAACTTAGTCAAGATGAAAAGTTTCTTGAAGAATATGCTGCATGGTCATTCAAACTTTTTTCTCAACCAGATTATCTTTATGGTAAACCACATGAAGTTTTTCCGTGTCCAATTATAAAAGATCCTACTGTTCCAACATCAGTACATAAACTTCGACCAAGTGATATTAAATGTATTGGTGCTATAGGTGATAGTTTAACAGCTGGTTTAGGTGCTCACGCACTTACTCCAGTTGGTTTAGTCCTCGAATATCGAGGTTAGATGTTGTTTGTTTTTTTTCCTGTTTTACATAATATTTTTTTGGAAATTGTTTTTTTTATAGGTGTATCTTGGTCGATAGGTGGAGATTATACATATTCAAAAGTTCTTTCATTACCCAATATTTTACGACAATACAATCCAGAACTTAAGGGTTTCTCTACAAAAGTATCAGTTATATTTCTTAATGGTCAAGACGCTAAAAATAATCACCTCAATGTTGGTAAGTATTTATACTTATTGAAAAGAGTGTTTTTGAATAAGTCAATCCTTATTTGTTTATTTAGCTAAATCAGGTGATCATTCATTTCATATGCCTGATCAAGCTAGATTACTTATGAATCGAATGAAAGAAGAAAAATTGTGCGATTGGGATAATGATTGGAAAGTTATTACAATTTTTGTTGGCGTAAATTTATATTTTTCTTAATTAAATTTAATCTTTGTTGTTTTTTAATTTTCTTTAGGGTAATGATTTATGTACCTTTTGTGAAGATTCAGATATAAAACAACATACACCAGAACAATATTTACGTTATATACGTGATACAATTGATACATTATATAATGCACCATTACCACGTACATTTGTTAATCTTGTTCTTGTACTTGATGTTCGTGGTATAAAAGATCTTAATAGTGGTGGTTTTGTTTGTCAAACACTTCATAAACGAACATGTCCATGTGCTGCTTTTCCAACGCCAAACCAAACTAAAATTTTAGATGATTATATACCACAATATCATCAAGTACTTGTGGAATTAGTTAATTCAGGTCGTTATGATAATCGTTCTGATTTTACTGTTGTTATTCAACCATTTATGGCAAAAACTAAATTACCATTAAAACTTAATAATGAAATTGATTTTAGTTATTTTGCACCAGATTGTTTCCATTTTAGCGGTAAATTTTATACCATTTTAAGAGTTTATTTTATGATTATTATTTTTTAGGCAAAGGTCATGCACAAGCTGCACTTGCACTTTGGAATAATATGCTTGAACCTGTTGGTGGTAAAAAATGGTATTGGCATATAAATGAAACATTAAATTGTCCTACAGAAAAATATCCATATATATTTACTAATAACAATTCAGCTGAAGCATTAAAAGAATATCATCAACGTTCAACAATGCTTCAAACAGCACATCATACTTCATTCATGAGTTCGACACCAGATGATAATACAACTAAACATCATAAACATCATAAATCACATTCTGATTCATCATTTAGCAAGATGCAATTAGTTGTTTTTGCGAGTTTCTTTCTTTTAATTATATTACTTTTAATTTTGACTATTAGTAAACGACAACAAATTCGTGTTTTTATTCATGGAGCTGGACGACGACATATAAATGGTTTTAGTGATCCAATATATCCAGATGACCATGATGACGTTGAAATATGGAATCGATTAAATTTAAAATCAAATTGTTCTATTAATAATGATATTCCAAAAACACATGGTACACGTATTTCTTTTGAATAAATATGTAATTGTTATATCTCCATGAAATATTGATTTTAAATTGTATTTTGATAATTACTTTATTTTTAAAATAAAATATCTTTTCTTTTTATTCAATCTATTTCTATTAAATAAAAAGATTATGAAAAATCGAATAATCTGAAAAATAGCAACGTTCTTTTAGCATTCTATTCGTTTTATCCTAAAAATTAGAATATATGGTTAAAAAAGGAAATTTCATAGAATATTATGCATGTATTGAACATATGAACATTTAAACAAACATCTTTTTATCAATAAGACATAGAGTTTATTAGATAGTTGCTGTCAGAACTGATGACACACAACAGAAGAGGATGAAGAAGTTGTCCTTGGTTGAGATTACATCATCGGATCCACAGACTATTCGACAGTGAAAACTCGTTGAATTCAACGAAATCCAATGGTATTAAACTATCTAGTTTTGCTTTTTGTAATTATTAGACAACATGTGAAATATATTTATAATAGATTTTATGATGATATGAAGCCGTTTGTCAATAACTTAGGGTTAAACTTTCATGTTCCTAAACGACAATGAGAGTGATACAACTCAACGAAATTATTAATTCTATTTTTTTGTTTCTTCATATTAAATTTATTATTCAACAATTGAATTTAATAATAAGTTAACATAAAATACATTTAAAGTGTTAAATCTCAGCCAATTGTACGAGAGGAAGGGACTCGAGGAAGTCAAACAATGTCTGACGTCCAGATATACATTCAATATGATCCCATAGAATTCTAGATGTATCCAACACTTTCCAGTTATCAGATCCGACAACTTCTGACAGTATCTAACTGTAGAATTCTTCGTTCTGGGCGATCGTATATTTGATCTGATTTCTTCACAATTTTTGTATGATACATAGTGTTGTCAGTGATGATGGATACATGTTAAAAACGAGAATGTGTGAGAGTCAGAGGAGAAAGACCTTATGTCACCCTCAATCACACACCTATACCTTGTTCATAGTTCCAATAATTCAAAATGCAGATTCGGTAATTTAAGTTTTTCAGGCACCAACTTCGATCTTGTTTGAGCTAATAGAAAATTATCTAAAAATTTATTTACATTCAATCGAAAACATTGTTAAATACTCTTTTTTTGATTTATTCATTCGAAGAATGCCACTTTTGGTAGTCATGTCTTTTGGATATAGAAAGTGTGGGCAAAAAGAATAATTGCACTACTAGTATTTCCCAAATATTTCCTCTATCCTTTACTTCATTGGGAAACCTTTTTTTTGTATCAAAAGATAGCAATTGAAATGTTCACTACAAGGTATATTTTATATAAGGGATATGATTTCCTTCATTTTTTTTAAATCAAACGTAATCTTATAATAGAATCAAGTATAGGATGTAAAAATATTTTTTGTTTTTCAATTTTCCAGGTAATATGGGCTATTCTCGGCCAGAGAACTCGAGAAAATAGTCAAAACTTAGAAGCGGAAATCTGATGATCGAATTTCTATTCAGGGTTGTCGATAAGAGACCAAAAATTTGGCAGAAAATACTTTCATTATCGGAATGCTAGAAGTGGTGATCGAAAGAGGAGAGAAGAACAAAACCCTTCGTGACTCGGTTTTTCCTAAATCCTATTCACTTCGCAACAACATTGTCTACTTATATTGTTATTTCACTTTCTGCCAGACAAAAGAAAAATGATGTTTCAAAATTCGTTTTTTATCCGAAGTTACCACAAAGTTGCAAAAAGTTGGCAGAAAATCGAATATTATAGAGAAGAAAACTCTCTCCCAATTGAGATCCCTGTTCCTATCACTTTTTCGAGTTTTTCGGCCAGAAACTTATCGGAATCGTTGATTTGGAATTTCACAGAAAAACATGAATTTCAAATTTCGGTCTTGATTCAATCTCGTGAGATTAGAATCAAAACTAGTATTATACATTTCTAAACAACAATAACATTATTTTTACTTTTCACATATACATATGGGATGTAATAAGTAATTCAAGCAGTATGCAGAACGTTCATAGTTTTATATACTTGTTTGTCAAACTCAATCAAATTTTAGCAAAATCTTTTTTCTATTTAATTAATTCAAACAAATCTATGCAATAAGAAAAACTCAATTCTATCTCATTTATTTTTATCATTGTTGCTATTAACCATCATATCATCTTTATTTTTAATTTATCAATATTTAATTTACGAAAAAAAAAGAACATTATTTTTTTTCTTTATCTTTGTTAACTTGCGACAACTATTTTCACTTATTATTCTGATTGGTTAAATACTTGAGACATTTCGTTAAAAAAAAAAAAGTTAAAAATCTACTCTACTCGTATTCTCTTTTTTGTCAGTCTCTTGCACTTACGTACTTTACAACATGGTTCTTTTTTAACCTTATTCGTCACATCGTTATTTTCAGTGTTAACATATCTATGTTTACTTTTTTCTTTTTTGTTTCTTATATTTATCTTGTGTCATTTAAAGATGATTCTCACTATTAATAAATAATCTTTTGGATTTTAGTCATATTTGTTTATTTTTTTTTTTTGCTTTTTAGTTCACATATTTATCAACATATAAATGTCTGATACAACATCAAGAGAGAAAATTTATGGTGCTGGTGCATCCGAACGTAATACACGTTTATTACGTATTAAAATTTTACGAGCAATTGATCTACAACGACGAGAATTTCTTGTTGGATCAAGTGATCCATATGTAAAAATTTTACTTCAAACACGTGAAAATCGTAATCAAACAATTGATATTGCTAATACACGTACAATACCAAAAACACAAAATCCATTATGGAATCAAGATTTTGTTTTTCGAGTATATAAAAGAAATAATTTAAAAAAAAAATCTTTTTATTTTTGTAATTATTAGGTTGATCCAACTAAACATCGACTTGTATTTGAAGTATATGATCAAAATAAACTTGTATGTATTGAAAATTTCTAATTATTTTAAATAAAAAATTGAATGTTTTGTTTTTATTTTTTGTCTTTATTGTCGTCTTTGAAGACAAAAGATGATTTTCTTGGCATGTTTTTTGTTGAATTAAATTTAAATATTCCATATGAATCATCTGAACAAGCAATGTTAACAAGAGATTATTCATTATTAAAACGAAGGTAAAAATATTCCTCTTTCCAAAAAAAAAAAAAGAATAATTTTCTAAAATAAAAACTTTAGTATTCTTCAACGTGTTCGTGGTACTGTAACAATTGGATTATGTTATATTAATTCAAATACATCAGTACCACGAAGAAATTCAACTGAAAATGATAATACACAACCTAATGAAGTAAGATAATTTTTTCTTTTTTGCTTTGAGATAAATACAAAAAAAAAACATATTGTTCTATAGTCTGGATTTGAAATTGTTAATCATGAAGATACAATTGAACCAACTGCTGCAACTGCTGCAACTGCTGAAACACCATTACCACCAGGATGGGAACGTATGAATTAGAATCTTTTTGTTTATTAAAATTTTTTGTTGCCTTTAATAGAACGACAAGATGGTCATGGTCGAACTTATTATGTTGATCATAATACTCGTACAACGACATGGTCTCGTCCGAATGGACGAACGTAAATTTGTTTTTCTTTTTTTTTCTTTTGATAAATTTCAATTTGTTTTTATTAGTACTGCTGGATCTCAACGACCACAACAACAAGTTGGTGATCGACATCAAATTGATGATATGGAAGTTAATAATACACGAACAAATACAACTACAAGTTTAGCAGCAACTACACGTACTTCAATAGCTAGTGCTTCAACAGATGATCTTGGTCCACTACCACCTGGTTGGCAAAAGTCAAAAACAGAAAATGAGCGTGCATTTTTTATTGATCATATTAATAAACGAACGACTTGGGTAAAAGAATATTTTGCCATTAATTATAATCTTTTTTTTTGTTACCGTTAAGATTGATCCTCGAACCGGTAAACCAAGTCCTATACCATCAGCTCAACGTGAACTCAATGAAAATGGGCCATTGCCAGTAAGAAAAATAAGACTAGGAAAAAAAATAATAAATGAAGTTGATTATCCATTCATTTTATTTTTAGGATCATTGGGAAGTTAGAACATTACCAGATGGTCGTGTATATTATATTGATCATTGTAAGAATTAATGTTTTTTTTATCGAATTTTATTAAATCGATTTATTTTCAGTGAATAAAACAACAACTTGGACAGATCCACGTATTGCTGGACCAGTACGTATGATGAGAAAAAAAAATTAAAATTTTCAGTACATTGATATTAAATAAATTCTAACATTATTCCAGAAGTAATACTAGTGGCGACATCATCGAGTCGCTAAGTCCTTCGAGAATCTTTTTAAAATTGTTGCAGAGAACTAATGATTATTCATAGAAGTAATGTCGCAGCATACAATTTTCTGAGCAATGAAGATTCTTTGTTTTTAATGTTTCTATTGGTTGTTTATTGAATTTTGTATATAAATCTTAGTATTTATTATAACATCAAATAAGACATGAAAATAATAATAAACATTAATAGAACTAGTAGAGAGTAATTCGTATGGTTAAAAACAAAAATTTTCAATATCATAACTAAATTGAAAATATATTTTGGAAAAGTAGCGGAAGGAAAATCATGTAAGAAGACTCTTTTAAAATTTCTTAAGAACCGAGAGTCCTCAGTTTTTTTCAAAAGAAACTTAATTTTTAGATTTATACATATTCTGATAGTCCTTGCAATGTGCTTTAAACTGACATTAGATTTTTGTTTTCGAAAGGCTCTCACCCACATCTAAGTATAAGAAACTATGATCACAATTTAGGTATGACATGTACTTCTAATAACATTATGATATATACATCATCTAATATTTTTGAGGAGGCTTCCCTTAAGGAAAGAATTCAGTATGTTGTTCAATCGAATATGTCAATTAAAATAAGTCTATTAATGTGACAAAAAAATTGTTTTATTCTCAATTTATTTAATCTTCTTAGGTTGTTCC